ACAAGCAGCCCATTTAGCTCAATATCAAAAAAACAAACAACCCAATCCAAAAATGGGCAGAAGACCTAAATAGACATTTCTCTGAAGAAGATATACAGATTGCCAACAAACACATGAAAGGATGCTCAACATCACTAATCATTAGAGAAACGCAAATCAAAACTACAATAAGGTATCACCTCACACAGTCAGAATGGCCATCATCAAAAAATCTACAAACAATAAATGCTGGAGAGGGTGTGGAGAAAAGGGAACCCTCTCCCATTGTTGGTGGGAACGTAAATTTATACAACCACTATGGAGAACAGTATGGAGGTTCCTTATAAAACTAAGAATAGAACTACCATACAACCCAGCAATCCCACTACTGGGCATATACCCTGAGAAAACCATAATTCAAAAAGAGACATATACCACAATGTTCACTGCAGCACTATTTACAATAGCCAGTACATGGAAGCAAGCTAAGTGTCCATCGACAGATGAATGGATAAAGAAGAGGTGGCACAAATATATAATGAAATATTACTCAGCCATAAAAAGAAAGGAAATTTAACTATTTGTAGTTAGATGGATGTACCTAGAGTCTGTCATACAGAGTGAAGTAAGTCAGAAAGAGAAAAACAAATACCGTATGTTAACCCATATATATGGAATCTAAGAAAAAAAGAAAAAATGGTTCTGATGAACGTAGGGGCAGGACAGGAATAAAGACACAGATCTACTAAAGAATGGACTTGAGGACATGGGGAGTGGGAAGGCTAAGCTGAGATGAAGTGAGAGAGTAGCACTGACATATATACATTACCAAATGTAAAATAGATAGCTAGTGGGAAGCAGCTGCATAGCATAGGGAGATCAGCTCGGTGTTTTGTGACCACCTAGAGGGGTGGGACAGGGAGGGTGGGAGGGAGGGAGACACAAGAGGGAAGAGATATGGGAACATATGCATATGTATAACTGATTCACTTTGTTATACAGCAGAAACTAACATACCATTGTAAAGCAACTATACTCCAATAAAGATGTAAAAAAAACAACAAAAAAGAAGCACCAAAGAACCAAATTCTTTCTAAATATTGTGATAGAAAAAAAATTGTTCCCTGCAAAGGTATAAGCCCAGATCTGATTTATAAATTGAGAAGATCTGGTTATTAATTTACATTTTAAGGACTATATTTAAATCATTTCTGCAGTTCCAGGAGGACTTTTGCTGAGTCTACTGCATTATCCATAATTTAGCATAGTTATGTGTGTTTGAAATCCTTTTGTTTTTGGGGATTTGATTTATTAAACCTCAATTACATACAGATAATGGTATGTGCCATAAAACTTCTCTAACATTTGATAAGATGACGAAGCTACCATTTTAATAAGAATAGTATGACTAAAAAGAAGAAAAAAATTCCAAGATAAAAAGCAGAACTACAACAGCTATGGAGATAGTTCTCATAGCTACAAATCAGTGATGGTTAAATTAATCGAATGGAACAAAATATTGATATTTACTGTTGTCTACAGGAGGTACCTTAGAAATGAAGCCTGCAGAGCAGCCCATCAATTCACAGCTCTGCTCTTAATGTCACCTCTCCCCTTCCTACCCGCTTCTACTCTGTCCTGTAAAATTGCTCCCAGACATAGCTGACCATTGTGTTCTCTCGGTCAAAGCTTTGCCATAGCTCTCTGTTCCTCACAGACTCAAGTCTATTCTTCTTAGCTCCGCTTTGAATGCCCTTTATCACCTGGAATGAAACAACTAAACAAGCTGCACTTCCTAAAGTCTGCTAGGTTTGTAGACTGCCTGCAGATCCTGGAGTTAGTTCTCCCACGTTAGCATCAGAGTGCTCCTGCTGCTCCTCTGGCCTTGAGCATCTCCCAAAGCGTTGACTGGTGATGCCCTTTCTCTGCTTGACCCCAGTCTCACCTGGTTCTTGAAACGTTTTGTGACCACACTCACTGAGTTAGCCACTCCCTTCCCAGGTTTTCCTTCTATACTATCCTAATCATAGCTTTATATTATACTAAGATATAACACTAGGACTCATTGTATGGGTACCACTGTCTTCCACTAGAAGAGGAGTTTCTGAAAGGCAGAAGAGGTTGCCATGTTTATTTCAGCCTCCCTGGCCCTTCCCTGGCACACAGAAGGCACTTAGCAAATGCTCATGGATGAAACTGCTGAAAGGCAGGAACAGCATACATAGTAATTTCTTTACGGTAAATAAAGATCTAGGTTTTGTTGAAAAATTTAAGAATGTAACTACAACCTCACATACTAATATGTAGAATCTTCCATCATGATATAAATATTTACGACTGTTTTGGTGTGTTTCCAACTTGGTTCTAAGTAAATGGTAATAGTAGAAATTTCTTGAAATCTTTTATCTGCTGAGTCTTTATTTGATAAGTTCATTTGGCCCCTTCCCAAGGCTATTTTCTTCCTCTCTTAGTCCAACCTGTTCATTAATGTAGACTGATTCATAAACACATTTAAATAAGAGAGAAAAAATTATATTTCTTTCTGTAAGAAGGGAAGTGTAACCGAGCAGGACACTGTAAGGTCTTCCCGGAATAGACTCCCACCCATGTCGTCCACCTGCCTTTTGTCTGTAGAAAAAGTTTAGCCAAAGCATACATTGAATCAGAGAAGTGAGAAAATGCAAAAAGAAAGGAAAACAGGCAAACAAGACAAAATAATAATTCTTTAGCCATTAAACAAAGTCATGTACCTTTTGTTCTTCCCCAAGGACTATAGATGATATTCTGAGCCATGTCCTTTGAGCTGTTTTGCGGATACTGAAACGCCCACCAGGTGGGAGAAGTTAACTGTAGGCTGCCCACAAAGCACATAGACCCCAGACTGGCTGGAACCAGAAGGTTGATGATGCTAACTCCCAGTTACCTCACCACCAACCAATCAGAGGAATGTCCATGAGCTGATCACGCCCTGCTCATAGAACACTATAAGACCCCTCACTGCCCACTCCCGTGTGGGACACACTGTCTTGAGGGCAGTAGCCCGCTGTGGTCCCCTTGGCCTGGCAAAGCAATAAAGCTATTTCTTTCTACCTCACCCAAAACTCTGTCTCTGCGTTTCTATTTGGCACCAGTGAACAAAGGCCAAGTTTTGGCAACAGAAGGAGTTTAATAAATTAAGAGGGAAGTGAAATATTCATCATATTTTGATAGATCTTGCTTTGTCATTCACATGATAAACTCTGAAAAGTGGGAAAACCCTAAACCTGGTTTCAACTGGACTAACAAAAAACGATTAGGCTACATGAAACACTTTCTAAATCCGATGTCCTCCTTTTTGCTTCCTGTGATGTGGTCAATCCTGGCTGGCAGCAGAAGCAGCACTGCTCAAGCCTCTGTGTGTGTGAACTTGGCCAGATGACCTACAAAGGGGACCGGTGAACTGACACTAGTCTGGTTTCTTCATCTGACTTTTCATCAAATGAAGCTGAATGCTCATATATCAGTATCCTTCATCCTTATGTCAAACATCATGAATATATAATTATGTTACTATATTATTCAGAGAGTTTAACTGATGGAACTTAGCAGATCTTTACAGACTATATGTATACAATTGATTGAGGCACTTCCTTCCACAATCTTCATTAGGAACAATGACACTCTTTACAAGTCAAGGATGTTAAGAAAGGAAAATTACTTGTAACAGCTGCATATAACTGAAATAGAAAAATCAGGTAAGAAGCGTCAGAAGTGCTTATAGTTTTAGCTTTGGAAGAGTTATACTTCTGCTGGTGGGGCAGGAGGTTTCTGAAGGATAATAGAATTTAAGAGGTTATAAGATGGACGTCTCAAAAGTGGGGTTTAGAAAACTGTAAATTTGACTTATGGAGGAGCCTAACCAGAGAAATCATGCCAAAAGATCATTATTTCATGACCTTGAGGAAAAGCAAAATTGTCAGAGGGTTTCCTATTCCTGCCCATGAATGCACACTGATATTTATGGAGGCCAACTCTCTTTATCTCCCTTTATGCATGCCCCATTCACACAAACACACACACCCCTCTCAAGACTGCAGGCTGAGAGCACTGTTGTAAATATTCATGAGATCATTATTATTAATGTCACCAAGGTGATTCTGTTCCTTCTCCAGTAGAGACTGGTTCTTATACCTAGAAACTGATCAAATGTAAGAGAAATGGCAGCTTTGAGGCAGCCAAGCTGAAGCAATTCTGTACATTTTACTTTTGAAATAGAGATTATTTGACTAGGTATTTTAAATCACACCCATCCTATCATTAAGTTTAACTGGCAGAGATTTCCCACTTTGGTACAACGTACAACATCCTTGGGAACACAGTTTCTAGAGTCTGGAAGAAGTATACATTGATTATTACATTCTTTTCTGAGAGCAAAAACTAAACAAAACATCTAAAACATCTCAAGAGATTTCCGGGTGATGAGTTTTCTAAGAAGGCATTGGGAGATAATTACAACACATTTGCTACTTCTATTATTTTAAGAAGACATTTCACACCACAGTCCTTATTAAAGAGCTATTTTCAAGAAACACAGGCTCTTGCAGTCACATTGAAAATGTTTTAAAAATAAAAATAGCTACTGGAGACAGTTAACTAGATCCCTATGTATTTGTCATAGACTCTTCTAACCAATTGGTCTGCCTGGTTATTCAAGATGCATGATATATCACAACAGGGAAATGACTGTTAACTATTGTTTTCAATCAAAGAAAACTATTTTTGGTTGGAATGAAAATGTTTATTTTTTTGCCTAAGACCTAAGAAAACATGTTAAATAAGTCAAATACTGGGGTAGGCAGAGGACAGTGGAAGATGCATATACCTCTTCAGTACCTCATTAGAAATGACCTTCACCAGCTTCTTGCACTCTGTTGCCGTATCAGTATTCCAAAACTCTCTGATCCTTAGCAAAACAGCAATTAAAGTTACAGAAACAAAAAGCACCTGTTGACAGAGGGAGGTAGAAACGACACGGGACTCACCTTAGGCATCCAGTGGCATTTCGCAGCACCTGTGAAGAATGCAGCTGTATTTTCCGATCGTCCTGAAGAGGTGAATTTTCCCAGCCTGAGTGGGGGATGATCACAGCATTGGTCAACACGGCCAGGGTGTCCTGTATGATCGGCATTTTGAGTGCATCGCAAGATGAAAGGTTCCAAAGGACTCCTGCAAGATACACACAAACAGAGCTTTTGGATGGCCACTGTTTTCCCCAGTTAAGAGCACAGGCAGGAGGGACAAAGATGGTGTAAGCACGTGTGCTAGGGCGTGCCCTTCATTTTAGAGCATCTGTGTGAAGCCATTACAAAAGTGCTGTGAAAATCTGACAAGTACGCAGAGGAACTGTAACATGATTATCTTTGTTCCATCGTGGAGAGTAACTGAGGTTGAGAGCGCTGATGGAATTGAGGATACCAACCAGGCTTCCATCCACAATTAGTACAATGGACCCAAGTACCCAAATTCTAACCAAGATCAAAGAGCTGTGAAAGTTATCTGAAATGGGCTAGTAAGACATCTGAAATAGACTAGTGAGACATCTTTGTTTTATCCAGGACCTCAATATGCACCTGTGGTCTGTTTGATTCGCTTAGTTTCCATATAGAACCAGCCATCATTGTGCAGGACCTTTCAAGAATCTAGTATCAGGTCTGATGATAACAAGCTCAACACGAAATGTAAATTTAGTGTCACTTGTGACCGTTCTGTAAGCTTTTCTCTGAAAACAATGTTCATGGAGGGCCTACAGACTGTTAACAACAAAGAAAGCAGGACAAAGGGGAGGGCGTGTCAACAATAGACAAAGAGACTTTAAATGGGATTAACTTTAGAAAAGGCCTTAAGAATTACATATATGTTATAATATCATTTGAAGATGCTTTTAAAATTATTACTCTTTTTGTTGTTCAAAACTGTACACCTGAAGGTAAAGAAAAACTACAACAAAGAATAATATTCTCTTTTCGTATGAAAGACCATTTCCCTCAAGACTAACCTAAATAGACACCATCACTGCAGATACTGAGAATAAAATATCACAGTCATCTTTAGAAACACAACTTCCACTTTACCTGTTTAATAAGCTTGCAATGGATTTTAAAATGAGGTTGTGTTTCATTTATCATGTTATGAATAAACAGAACTCATTTATTTCTGAAATTTGTTTTATTAGTTTCTTGCATTGCACATGTTGAACTATCCAAAGGCATTAATAATACTAACCTGAAAGTTAATGATATTTGCTTGTTAATAACTAAAATAACAGTTTAAAATCAGTTCTATAAAAAATGTGACTTTAGAGACAAACTTTTCCACTGGTCTTTCAAAACAGCATTTGCTGGGAATTTTATTTAGGTAAATGCAAAGGAAACAATATGGTTTTGGTGCTGAGAATGTATAAATCAGTCCTTCAGTACAGGGGATTGGACTGAGGGCGAATCCTCCCTGCCTGTTTTTGTAAATAAAGTTTTATTGGAACATGGCCCTGCCTGTTCACTTACATATTATCTATGGCTGCCTCTGTCCTACAAGGGAAAAGCTGAGATTTTGTGACAGAGACAGTATGGCTCACAAGCCTAAACAATTTACTGTCTGGCCTTTTACAGAAAAATCCTGTGCACCTCTGTGTTAGTATGTGGATCATTTTCTATACATTTCTGTGTGCGTGTTTACCTTGCCATTAGAACCCTAAATTGACTGTATAAAAAAATGCTTATTGGTACACAGAAGTTGCTCAAAATATATTCTGAGTTGGACAGATGTGAAATGCTAGGAGTATTATCATATGCATTTATTTTGAATTAAATAATATATGAAGCTTTTTTTATTCATCCCATTAGGAAACGTTTTACTGAATTTTGGGTAATCAAAATAATCAAAATGAATACTTTCATTCACTTGTAGTCTAACAACAGTATTCCTTTTCCTAGTAAAATAATTAGTTTTCAGTTTAAAAAAGCACATTTAGGACTTCTCTGGTGGTGCAGTGGTTAAGAATCCACCTGCCAGGGCTTCCCTGGTGGTGCAGTGGTTGAGAATCTGCCTGCTAATGCAGGGGACACGGGTTCGAGCCCTGGTCTGGGAGGATCCCACATGCCGCGGAGCAACTAGGCCCGTGAGCCACAACTACTGAGCCTGCGTGTCTGGAGCCTGTGCTCCGCAACAAGAGAGGCCGCGATAGTGAGAGGCCCGCGCACCGCGATGAAGAGTGGCCCCCGCTTGCCACAACTAGAGAAAGCCCTCGCACAGAAACGAAACCCAACACAGCAAAAATAAAGCCCTGGTCTGGGAAGAGCCCATATGCCGTGGAGCAACTAAGCCCATGTGCCACAACTACTGAGCCCGTGCTCTAGAGCCCACAAGCCACAACTACTGAGTCCATGCACCATAACTACTGAAGCCCATGCGCCTAGAGCCCTCGCTCCGCAACAAGAGAAGCCACCATGATGAGAAGCCCGTGCATCGCAATGAAGAGGAGCCACCGCTGGCTGCCGGCGTTCAACAACAAAGACCCAAGGCAGCCAAAAAAAAAAAAAAAAAACCTTTGCTAAAAAAAAGCATATTTAAATGAAATTACTATTTACACCATATTTGAGGATAACTTTAAAAAATATCACATTAAAGGGTTTGTGTCTGTTTTTCTTTTTTAAACTAAGGTATAGTTGACTTACAATATTTGCATTAGTTTCAGGTGTACATCAAAGTGATTCACTTATATATATATATTTTTTTCTGATTCTTTTCCATTATAGGTTATTCTGTTTTTCTAAGTACACAACACACCTATGCAGACACAAAATGATTTTTTTTCATTCCTAAATCCTGATTTGAAAATGCCAATACATGAAAACTGAGGCTTGTAAATGTTTTAAAATATGGGCGGCATATTTTGCTATAAAATACATTTCCTCTAAAGACTAAATAGTAAAAGACTTTTGCATTTTTCCATGCAATGAATTTAAAAGAATCTAAAGTCAGTCTATGATAATAAAGCAATTTTTACTGTTTCCTAACAAACAGAAAAGAGGTAGGAAAGGAAAGGGGGGAAATCAAGAAAAGGTAAAGGCCTAATCTAATATCTGCCGAGAAGTGAAAAGGATGGGAAAGAAGATGGCCTTTCAGGTAATTTTATCGGGCTGTTCTCTGCATTACCTTTCTCATTAATTCATCAATTAGTGTAACCTAATTCCGAATCAGGCACGGAGAGAAGTTTCCTATTCACATTCCCTCTGCCTTTCCAGACGGCTCCATCTGTGTTTCACATTCCAATGAATTTACCACAGTACTTGACCCAAATCTCTGAACTTTCTATCCCAGTTTCTGCCTGCAGCCCACGTGTACTTCCTGGACTTACAAGAAATGCAGCAGATCTCTGGTCAGGGGCAGCTTTACCACGTGTGCTTGGATGAGGACTTGGTCAAGTGGATGCAACATGACAGAATTTCTTTTGGGGGAATTCAGCAAACCAGTTAGTTGCAGGGTGCCCTCCAAACCTGGAGTTTTGGTTAGATTATCTGGACACAGAGACAAGCTTGAGTGTAGAATCAGCAGTCTCTGCGGACGCTGAGATAAAGGTGGGTATGTGTGGCAGGAGTCAAAAGTGGGCAACAGCTGGGAAGCCTACACCTGTCTTGCCAGACACACACACACACACACACTCACGTCTATGCACACGCACATTCACACGCACACTCACATCCATGCACACACACATTCACACACTCACATAAACATACCCCCACACTCACATCTATGCACACGCACATTCACACACACATCTATGCACACACACATACACACGCCCCCCACACATCTATGCACACACATTCACACACTCATACACATACATCCACACCCACATCTATGCACACATTCACACACACATCTATGCACACACATCCACACAGACATCTACACACACATTCACACACTCACATACACATACACACACATCCCACACATCTATGCACACACACATTCACAGAACACACATCTATGCACACACACATACACATGCCCCACACTCACACCTATGCACACACATTCACACACATTTACGCACACACATCCACACACACACCCCACACTCACATCTACACATTCACACACACATCCACATTCATATCTACAGACACACATTCACACACACACGCATTACATATACTCACACATACATACACACACTCACACCTAAACACACACTCACACAATATATTTACACATTCACACATATACAAACTCAGACACATACACTGACACACACACACACACATCCATTAGTCCCTGACGAAGGTAGAGAGAAAAACGGACGTATCTAGGCATTCTCTGTGAACAGAGGAGAAATGGGTGTTTTGCTCAAATTTCTCTTCACTCCTCCCTCTCCATCTTCTGGGGTGGTTTTCTGACATTCCCTTCAAACGCAGGAGCCCGACCCTTCTCCCCCTGAGGGTGGGCTGCACTTAGTGGCTCGCTTCTGACCCGCAGAATACAGAGGCGATAACTGAGTGACTTCTGAGACAAGGTCAGGGAAGAGGTACTGCGGCTCCCGCGCAGCTGTGTCTGGGGTTGCCTGTTGGAGGGGGAGCCTGCCGCCACCCTGTGAGGACCCTCAAGCCGTACGAGAAGAGGCCTATAGGGAGAGGAATGGAGGCCTCCCGCCAGTAGCCAGCAGGGAGCCATCTTGGAAGTGGACCCTCCAGTCGGAGTCAAGCCTTCAGACGATACAGCCTCATCCGCGTGGGACCCTGAGCCAGAAACACGCAAACCTGCCACTCCTGGGTTCACTCAGACACTGTATGGGATAAACGTCTGTTGTTTTAAATTGTTAAGTGTTGGGGGTATAATTTGTTATGCGGCAACGGTAATTAATGTCCCTTCCTTTCCCTTCCCTCTCCTTTCCCTCTGTCTGCTGGACTCTTCCCTTTACAGCACTTTCTTCCTAGTTACGCCTCTCATTCTGACTTAGATTCACTGCTTTTCTCCTTCCCTACAAGCCCTCCATCCTCTCCTCTACTGTGAGAGTACAGGAGATACAGGAAGGGAATCCAGCTCAACCTTGTAACTAAATTTAAAATGCATTTTAACTTAGGTGACAAATGATATTTAACTTTTAAAAAGGCATCGCTCTTCATATTTGTGACTTATGAGACAGCCAAACACTTTCTTTA